ACCTTGTATTAAGCAGTTTGCTGTTTATTATTAAACCTTTGGTGAATATTAACCAGTAGAATAACATAATTATATATTTATATTATATAACCATAACACAGAACTCTTCATATTATAACAGAACTCTTACACCAACGTGCAACTCATGTATACCACTTAACGATAAAAACACCCAAATTAGAAATAGAAGAGAACTTTTCTCAACCTATTAAAGAGCACCTTAGACAAACATCACACTTAGTGGTAAAAGACAAACAGCTTTCCAAATAAGATCCGTAACAGGACAAGGATGTCTACTCTCACCATTTTTATTCATTAGACTGGAGGTTCTAGTCAGGACAAATAGGCAAGAAAAAGAAATAAAAGATATACAGACTGGAGAGGAAGAAGTAAAGCTACCTCTAATTGAAGAGGACGTGATCTCCATTACAGAAAATGCTAACATCAACAAAAGCTATTAGAGCTAATAAATGAACTCAGCAAGATTGCAGGATACAAGGTCAATGTACAAAAGTCAATTGTATTTTTATACTTTAGCAATGAATAACCCAAAAATGGGATTAAGGAAACAATTTCATTTATAAAAGCATCAAAAATATTAAAATGCTTGTGAGTATATTTCACAAAAAACAGCCAGATTTGTGCACTGAAAACTGCAAAACTTCACTGAAAGAAGTTAAAAAAAAAGCCTTAAATAAATGGAAAGCTATCTCATGCTCTTGGATTGGAATACTTAATATTATTAAGATGAAAAGAATCCATTAATTGGTCTACTGATTCAATGCAATCCCTATGAAAATCCCAGCTGCCAGTTTTGAAGAAATTGTTAAGCTCTTTCGAAAATTCATATGGAACTGCAAAGGACTCAAGAGTGGCTAAAATAATCTTGAAAAAATACAGCAAATTTGTAGGACTCACGCTTCCCAATTTCAAAACTTTCTACAAAGTATTACTCACAAGACTATGTGGTATTAGCATGAGGATAGACATTTAGATCAATGGAATAGAATTGAGACCAGAAATAGACTCATACATATATGGGCAATTGAGTTTTGACAAGAGTGATGGAACAATCTGATTGGGAAAAGAATGTTTTTTTCAACAAATGGTGCTGGAACAACTGGATATCCATATGCAAAACAATGAAGCCATGCTCCTAACATCATATACAAAAATTAACTCAAAATACATCAAACAACTAAATATAAGAGCTACAATTATTAATCTCTTAAAAGGAAACATAGGAGTAAAAAAATAGTCAATAAAATTTAAAAAAACTGAACTTAACCAAAATTTAACATACTATGTTTCAAACAACGCTATCAAGAACATGAAAAGTCTACCCATAGAGTAGGAGAAAATAGTTGCAAATTGTACATGTGATAATGGTCTAGTATTTAAAATACATAAGGAATGCTTGCAACTCAATAATAAAAAATTAATAATCCAATTTAAAAATGTGCAGAGGATTTGAATAGCTACTTCTACAAAGAAGTGATACAAATGGTTAATAAGCACATGAAAAGATGCTCACCATCTTTAGCCATTAGGGAAATATAAATCAAAACCAAAATGAGGTACTACTTTGCAACCACTAGGATGACTATAATAAAAAAGATGGGCAACACTAAGTGTTACTGAGGATGCAGGGAAATCGGAACCTTCATACTTCAGTAACAGGAAAGTAAAATGGCACAGCTGCTTTGGAAAACAGTCAAGTAGTTCCTCAGTTACACATAGAATTACCCAGAATTACACATAGAATATGTCCCAGCAATTCCACATCTAGGTACATACCCAACAGAATTATAATATATGTTCACATAAAAACTCAAACATGAATGTTCATAACAGCATTATTCACAATAGCCAAAAAAGTGAAAACAATTCAGAATGTCCATAACTGATGAATGGATAAACAAAATGTGGTATTATCTATAGCATTATTATTCAGCCATAGAAAGGAATAATTTATGGGCATATGCTACAATGTGAATGACCCATGAAAACATGTTGAGTGAAAGAAGGCAGACACAAAATACTACATATTGTATAGATTTATATGAAATGTCCAAAATAGGAAAATCCATACAGATGTAAAATAAATATTGATTGCCAGAAAGTAGGAAATTAGGGAAATAGGGAGTGACAACTAATGGATTCAGAATTTATTTTCAGGGTAATAATATTCTAGAACTACTGGAAATTGTTGTACAATCTTGAAACTATATCAAGACCCACTGAATTGTATACTTTAAAAGGTCTAATTTATAGTATTGTATCTCAATTAAAAATCAGTTGTTGTGTAAATACATAGGAATAAGATTAATTTGTAAATGAGTGATTTAAAGTATGTGCTGATACATAGTTGATGTTCAATAAATACTTGCTGAAAGAATAAATGCATCACAACTGATTATATAATTATATACACAACTAATAATATAAATTATAGAAAGCTTTTTTATAGGTTTTAATTAAAACAAAGTATAATTAAAATTTTTAATTGATAATCTTAAGTAGACTGAAAACATTTAAACCATTTTCCTTATAAAAAAGAAAGCACCAATTTTTTTCCAAGTACTTCAATGTAGAATTACAAAGTAGTATCTAAATATAATGTTGTCAAATTGTACTTAAAAAGATTTTACAGAATGGACATTGAGTAGGTTCATTAGGGTTCCATTTACAAACGGTGATTTTGTAAATGTTTCAGGTTAATGTGGAATTTTAGGAGAGATTAATCAACTCTGACTTGTAATGAAAGACTGTAATAATGCTAATCCAAGAATTGTTCTCCAGCACATTCTGTTCTTAAAATTGATGAAAAGACATTTTGCCTTTCACCTTTCAGTTGGGAGATGCTTTAAAGTATGGTTATGTTTCATCCAAATTTATTAAACTAAAGATAGTGATCAACTTTGACTTCATTTAAGATGAATATGACAGAAAATGGAAGTTTGATAAAGCTGCTCTTTAAATATTCTGTTCCTAACCTCTTTAATTCCCTTAAAACTGATCTTATCTAAGGTATTATAAAACATGGACACATATGTACATGTATGTGCCATATATACATATGTATACACCTATTTATGAATTATGAAATATATTTTATTTGTATATATTCAGGCAATACAAAAGTGAATCAAACCAGTTATCATATATTTGAAAGAATAAGGAGGACAAAATTTTAACTATAAATTGCATATAACTAAAAATGATACAGGTGGTAATGCTGTCAGCTTTGAGAGCATTGTTAAAATTGACAATTTGACTCAAGCAGTGAATATATGTCCTAATTAAGCTTAATTTTCTTGGTGGTGAAAGGTGCGTTGTTTTGGTATATGTTGAACAGTTTTGAGATGCACTAATCCAGTTGTTCCAGAATACATCTAATTTTGGTATAAGTGCCTTTGCTTCATGAAAGAATGAGAATTAGTAAACATACCCAACCTAATATGTTTTGGTCATTTGCAGAGTGTTTTTATAATTAATACAGCACATGCATCTATTTGTCTGCCAGATAGTCAAGTGTGTCTGCAAGTTGTCTTGAATCTCTTAATAACTACATTCACTCCTTCTGTTAGGATGTCACTTTTGCTAGATGATGTCCTCAAGATTCAAGGATCACTATCATTTGACTACATGAGACACTTTTTTTCTAGTCATTGTACTTTCCTACAAGAAGAAAAAATATGCTGATTCCACCAAAAGAGGTTTGTGGAAGCCTAAACACAAACATAAAAGAGAAAATACTCACTTAAATACCTATAGATATCCCTTCAGGGAGATCTTATCAAACTGTCTTATTTTTCAAACTGATCAACTGAGGTCCCGGGAGACTAGTCCAAGATCACAATGGTGCAGCTGAGACCTAAGCTCAGGCTCCTGACATCTGTCCCCAGTGCCCCCACTATAGCTGGATTTAACACTTACGTCATTTCTTTAACAATTTTCCTCTTCAGTGTGATTCAGAAAGCACCAGTTTCTCTTCTTTTACCTTGAAGGGGTGTATGCTGTTTTAATTGACTTTGTGCTGTTTTAATCAACAGTCTAGCATCACTAACAACCCAAATGAAAGAAATAGCTCTCTTAGAGCCATAACAACTTAGAAAATAAAACTGTTCTCATCTCTCCATAAACACTCAAGATTTGGGCAATAAGTGACCTTTATATTCACATCATTGCCTTCTCAATGTGGTCACAGCTTTGACCTCTGCTTTTCTTAGCATATAGATACTCTCTGTTGATATATATAGATTTCATATTTCTTATCTTCAAAAGCTGCCAAATATTTTACTATTTTGATGTGCTGTAATTTAGTTACTCCTACAGTGGTCATTTAAGTTGCTTACATTACAATGAGAATTTTTTTAGGTTTTCCCTCTGAATTTTATAATTATAATTAATATATCATATTTATTATTATTATTATAAATTATATTACATACTGTACCCAGATATGGAATTAACTTGATAAACAGGATCTGCAGTTTTAATTTTTTAATTGTTTTGATCATTGATTAGTATTATATTGCTCCCCAATAACTACCACTTAAAAAGCTGCTAATAATCTGTAAGAATATCTTTTATTCATTTTCCCCAACAATGGCCATTACTGTTAAAATCTTTTTCAAATAGCACAGATATTGTATTTTTATTAATTTATTTCTATTTTCATGTTTGCTAAATTAATAAATATAGAAAAATTATTAAAATAAGTATTGAATAGAGAAAAGTATTTAATTATAATATATTTTTACAATTATATTATTAGATACAGAAAAATATTAAAAATAGAAAAATGACTTTTTCTGTTTTATGTGTTTATGGATTCTTTACTTCCTGATTACCAATTGCTTTCTTCCTTGATCCATTAATATTGATGTTAAATCTAATATCTTCAATATTCCTTAAAACCTCATTCTCTAATTAGTAACTAATTCAAACAATTGCTAAATGCTCAGTGCATATAACTGGCCCTGTGCTAAGTCCTGGGACTTTAGACCAGGACTGCCTGGTGACTACAGTCTGTCTGGACGAACAGCTGGGAAAGCCAAATATTAAGGTACTGAAAGTGGGGGGAATGCGCAGGAGCTCCTCTGCTGGTTTTTAATTTCCGTTTGCCAAGTGGAATCACACATACACTAGGACGGAAGGCTTCACTCCGCTGAGGAGTCTTGTTTTCCTAACACAGGCGCTCTCTTGTGAGTCAGAGGAGGCCTGGGGTTTACGTTCAGGCTCAGCCAAGGAAGGTGGAGATACCTTGGGTTTCGACACACTGGGCTGTCCCGAATGAGGCCCCAAACGGAGTCCCTCACTTCAGCGAAATACTCTGGGGATAGTATGGAACATCAACTCTCCCATGCTCTCAGCACGCCCCATCCTCTTTTCTTCTTCTACTGTTCCTCCTGCCACGATGACTATTCTCAGGCAAGTCTTGTCTGCATGTAAAGCCAACCATGTAAGGATATGGCCATGTGCTGTATGTCAAAAAAATAACAGTTACAGAAGTGTTTTAAACACTGAGATGTATCATACTTACTTTAGCTTTTACTTCTGTTTTTGTGTTTTGGGGTTTTTTTGTTTCTTTTTTTTTAGTTATTTCCATGCTAAAGTGCTGGTTGTGCTCAGCCATTACACATTCTCTTTTTTTCATAGGCCAAGACGACACGACCAGATGAATAACAGTTTAGACTGTGGCTGCAGAATTGGAATCACGTTTCTCCTCCCCCTTTGGTGAGAGGCTAACTTTCTGTGACGATTTTGTCTGTTTTTCATTCATTTTTTAAAAAAAGCAAACAAAAATAACTCTCAACTGGAAATGTGTTTACAATATTATCAAGTGTTTGGAAGGTTTGACTCATATCTCTTGGGGTGGTTGTATGACATATGAGAAGAAAGAGTGGTTACTTCTTGAAGGACATGGTCTAAATTAAAATTTAATTCCCTACGTTTGTATAATAAGGAGAGTTCTTGGAAAGCAGAATGGAACAAAGACAACTTAATTATTAAACATCAATACCAAGAGAAAAAAAAACTCAACAAATGCAATAACTATTGTAGTTGGTTAGTTTTAAGAAATAAAGTAAACAAGGTAAAATTATTTAAAATCCATGAAATGTATGCATTTCAGAATTGGAAATTCATATGATAAATGTGATAGTAATAATGAACTGTACACCCTAATGTCATTAATTTTTGGTCCTTTATATTTTAAGTAGTCTCTAAGGTGGTTATTCTCTGGGCAGATGGATGAAGTATCTTTAATATTAATCAGACTTCTAACTTTTTAAAGGGAAAGCTTACATAGGAATGAACATTAAGAAGCACTTTATAGAGATAAAGGTATTCAGAGGGCAGCATGTATAATTGCTCTTGAATATTATTTTTGAAGATGGTGAGAAATTGTTTGTGATTAGGATTCAAGACAAGGAAAGGTTATCATTTCTGCACAGGAAGCCTATTCCTGGCAAATGAGCTAAATTTTTACTAGAAGTGAACCATTCCACATATCCAGTTACAAAACACCTATATCTATAAATTTTTTCACTTTGCAAAAGGAATGTTCTTCATTATTGAGTCCTACAAATGAAACTTCAGGTGATGGAAATAACCTGAAAACTCTAACTGCAGACTTGTTTGAGCGCTGACATTACGTGGACTTCAGCTGGCAAGTGTGCTGTGAGAAATGTAATGAATCCCAGGAGCAGTAGTCAGCCCCATCATTCTCAGCCTTATTTAAAAAATGGTTTATACAGTAACATGAACAACAAGAAATCTGCTCTCCTCCTCCAGCTGGAATAGTCACGCTGGGCTGATCTATTTAATAGTTACTAGCTAAATATTTACAACAACGAGTCGCTTTTGTTTTAAAGCTCAGTCAAGCTATTTAGAAACTATGATGAGTTTATTTCCAGCAGTAGCAAATCGAAATTCTTGACTTTAGGGAAAGATAGCTATATATGGTAAAACATTTTTATTCATGTTGGTATTACATTAGAGCACAAATCTTGATGGAAGTGAAACAATGAGTTCTTAGCCAAAGCTTACCGGAGAGTCAGGGATTGTTTTCATTGTTAATTTAATACTTAAATTACTAGCTCTCCTCTGTAATATGTACTGAGGATTATAAAACTTGGACTGAAGCAGCACATAAAAACAGCATTGCCAGATTATCATCTAGTATTTTCATCAGATTTCTTGAGAATGTATTTTTTTGTATTCGATTCAGCAGAAAAAGTAAAACTGTATAGAATGTTGATTCAACTTTTTGGTAATGAGCTTCTTCAGAAAGAAGCACATATTGAGGAGAATACTAAGAACAAAGAGGTTGAGTTATTTCAAAAGAACCTGCTCCGCATAAGCTAGATCACACTGTGTCTTTCAGCACAGTTACCAGACTCTGCAGAGGTGACACCCGGTTTTTAGGCTCCTTCCTCCCTTTATTCCCTGCACTCCCACCTGCATCTTCTTTCCTGGACCTCCCACGTGCAGTTCTCCCTTCCACTTGAAGTAGCAGTACAGGTCCATGCTCTCTCTGTAACTTTGCCCTTCACTGTCCACCAACCCCTCACTGCCAGATGGTTGTAAGTCAGTCTTCCAAGTTTGTAGCCTTTGTGTTTGCAAGTATGTAAAATAAAACATGATGTAAAGAAGTGCACAGAAATGTGTCATTTAATGGCACACTATTTTCACTCTTTTAATAGTCTCTGTTGAGGAACACTAGTCCTTTATTTTAATATACTCTAATTTGTAATCTTTTCCTTTAGTGTTTTGTGTGTGCATCCTCTTTCGTAAATTGTTCTTAGCCAAAGTGAGGAAGATATTTTCTTATATGGCTTTCCTGACTCTACTGTTTTGCTTTTTGAAATTTGCTTAGAATTATTTTTTGAACCTGCATTTTTATATTTGGTAGAAGGCAGAGTTCTCTACTCCTGTCAGAGAGCATAGCCAATGCAAAAACTTTGAGATTTCAGGAAACTGAGTGTGATGAGGAAGAGCCTGGAACCAGTGAACGAGCCAGAAGGAGTTGGAAAGAGGTGGCCGAGGCAGACACCAGCTGGGTACAGAGAGCCTTTTAGACCTCAGTAAGCAGGTTTCATTTTATTCTAAATGTATGGCTCGTTACTGGAGAGTTGGGAGCAGAAGAGTGATATGATAGGATTTGTGTTTTTAAGAATCTCTGACTATTGTGATAATAATTAACTGAGATGCAGAAGTAAATGTAAATGACCTGTTAGGGAGCTACTGCACTTTGCCAAGTTTGAGATGTTAGAAGCTTGGACAATCTTTACAGTGAAGGTAGGGAAATGTGGATAGACTTAGGGTTTGTTTTGAAAGTAAAACCAACAAGATTTTCTAATAGATCAGGTATGGTTTGAGAATAAAGATATGAAATACTATCCCAAGGCGATGATATTTGCTGAAATAGGAAAAATATCAGCTAAAATTTCTCTGGCTTTATGAAACTCTGGTCCAGTTTGTGAATGTTCCCAGTAATAGTCTATGCCACAAATTTTGTACTTTATGGTTAGAAATTACCTGATACTTAATAATGCCTTCTTAGTGAAGAAGGTCACTAATACCCATATCTCAAAATTATTATAATGAATAATTTTTACATATTTACTAAACATTCTCACAGATGCTATTTGATCCTAGCATCCTCTTGGGTAGTAGGCAGAAGAACCATTAGTCTTCTTAAATTCCAATGGAGGAACATTAGATATGGTACTAAATAGATAATGATGCTGGATCACCAACTAAGTCTCATGACTCTAAAATTCCTAACTTCTTTACATGTCTGATGCAGCCCCTGTAATAGCAGTATCAATGGCTGAACACACACACAAAAAAAAGTTCATATAATGTTTTCTTGGGGTGCACCCACTGTATCTAGGAAAGAAGACCTTTCGGCCATCTCCTTATTATACCCAGAGGCCCAGCCATGAAGTTCTTTTTCTCCTACTTAACAGTTTTATCTGTTTTTAATTAAATCTAACTAGAAGTATTTTACTTTTAAGGTCTAAACCTATTTTCCTTATGGCAGTATATGGACATACCCTGGAATTATGCCCCAGCTAACTTTTCTTTATTTATTTGAATTCTCCCCAATAAACGAGTGGTGTGAACCAAAGCATGAAGGATAAAAAACAAAATGCTGTTTCTACCTGAACTTAAAAATTCAACAGAAAGAGCAACTCATCAGCAGCAATTAGTATGGAAACACAGATGGTCAAATGAGACAAACCATCAGCTGATTTATTAATTTCTTACAGAAATGTTTGACGTTCAGATGGAGTCCACAGAAATGTACCTGAAATATGTTATTTTTCCAATAGACTAATTTAATTAATTCCAACTGGATTAGTTCGAACACATTACCTTTGTTTATCTAAAGAGGAAGAACAAGTACAATAAGTTCTAATGTAGTAGAGCAAACAGCACAAGGCCAAATCCTTCAAACAACATGAACTCAAATAAAAAGAATTTATAATCTGAATATGTTAAATGTTGTCTGTTGTCACTCTCAGAGTAAGAATGATAATAGATTTACAGTAATTGGTATTTATAACTTTCACAAAGCACCTGTACATATCATTCTGATTTGATCTTCACCATCACCCATAATAATATTGGTACTTTGCATTCACCTAATGCTTGGGCCAGGCACCATACTCACTGCTTGGCTTGCATTACTTTATTTAATTTTTCCTAGTAATCTGCAAATCAAGTGACTTGATTGAGGTTTTTAGTGTTAAGCAAGACAAATGGACTTTGCCTTACTTGAACAAAATAAAGAATAAGCTAAAGTTGAAGACTGGGACTAAGGTAATTTGGAACGCTGTCTTTGAAATTGGCCAGTTCTAATGTTTTTTCAAATTATGAGATTTTACCCAAAGTTCACATTCCTGTCTCTGTTTGGATTGACTTGGATCATGTACTTATTTCCTTGTCCAGGTGCTTCAGTCTGGTTATGACAATTCCTGAACTTTGAAGTAGAACTCAAGGAACATTCCTTTTCCTCCAACCAACTTGGCATTTACATAAAATAACGCATACCAGATACAGGTTAAGGAGGGGAAAACAGTGAGAATCAGTAGAGAGAAAAGGGGAGGAATCTTAGGTCATACCACAGGTGGTGAAGAACCGGTCAGATGGTTCCTGAGGCGAGCAGATCCCTTAAAAACTGGCTCAGTCGTAGATGCTCAGTAAGAAACAAAACTCCTCATAGTAGGTTTAAAAGTAAGTAGGTTTAGTAGCAAGTTTAATAGTAATAATGGAGTAATAATGGTTGCCCATGATGTCATGTCCAACCTCTATCCTGGAGAGATGGAGATACAGCCCTCTCTTCTTTGGTGCTCATTGTATGAAGGAAATACAGATTCCACAACATAACAAACAAACAAACGTGGGGGAAAACTACCCACTACCTGAGGAAGGAAAGCTATTGGAATGGGTGTGTGTTGGTGGAGCAGGGAGATGGCAAGCCTGCAGGGAGGGGTTGATGACAGCTGGCAGCAGCAGAGAAAGGGATAATCAAATTAAGTTCTGCTCTTTCCCTTGCCCACTGTGTTCCCTCAGGACACACTGCTAGTCACACAGTCTCAGAATCTCTGGCAGCTCTCACTGGGGCTGGTGTCCTCAGGAGAACTACCAGACCAACACTGAAGCCTGGTTGGGCATAGGAATTGATGAAAACATGTGACACTCACCAGTCCTGGTGTTTTACACCTGTTCTCCATCCCCTCCAAACCTCCAGGGTTGACAGATTACTCCCTGGGCTGATGGCTTCTTACCAATTCTGCTTTTTCCTGAGCATTTAGAGATAAGTAGCAGATAATGGCACACAAGAATAATTTCTTTTTATGAAAACTAAGGTGCATCCTTCAGATTTTCCCTTATATTCCTTCCATACAGAGTAGCTGATATCCATAGGGGAACCTAAGTATACAGATTAAAATAACAAGAAACCTGCTAAATATAGCTACTTTGAATAACAACAATAACAAAAAACTCTGAAGCATACACCATCTGAGCAAATGTTATGATTATTAGCCAATCATATACTATTCACACATAGCTTTGCATTTAAATTCAAATTACTGCATTAAAAAGTCCAGATATGTTGGCTGTAAGTTAAAATTTACACTAATATGAATGCTATTACTAAAAATATGGATGTTGGTAAGGCAAAAGCAATGGATTTGTGAACATTGAAATGGTGTAAATTAAGTGCCTACATGCCTAGCACATAGTAACTTGTGGTTAGTAGGTATAAATTTCTCCCCCACTTTTTGGAGTCATACACTTAGTAAATGAGGAGCCAGATTTGTGCCTGGCATTTTTTCACTGATACAACTTCAGATACTGTAATAGTTCTCTGAGGCTGCTGTTAAAAACCACCACAAACTTGGTGGCTTCAAACAACAGAAGTTTATTATCTCACAGTTCTGGAGGTCAGAGTCTGAAGTCAGTATCCCTGAACTGAGATCAGATTGTTGGTAGAGCTTGTACTCCTTTTGAGGCTCTAGATCCAGCCTCTTCCAGTTTTCTTCAAGGAATGGCTGCTGCTGTGCCTTGGCTTATGGCTGCCTCGCTCCAGCATCTTCAAATCCCCCTCTGCTTTGTCTTTATACCCCTCTGTGCATCAAATCTCCCTTTTTCTCTCCCTTATAAGGACCAACAGTTGTGATTATAATGGGCCTACCAACATAATCTAGATAACCTCCTCATCAAAAGATCTTTACCTTAATCACATCTACAAGGACCCTTTTTGTCACATGAGATAATATTCATAGGTCCCAGGGATTAGGATGTGGATCCATTTTTTCACCCTATGCTTCAAGCACCTATGCATACACATAGTAAGTGCTCAGTAAATATTTGTTATGGAGTCTCTTTCCATAGCCTGCTTCCACTGCCTCTCTTATGTCCTATGATCTATATTATTGATAGTACCCTACCCTCATATACCCTACACATGTGTTGTTTGCACATATTTTCTCTCCATTGTTCCTGGTTATCATGTAATGAAGGTGTTTTTAAGCAACACGGTTGTGAAGAAACCACAGACATGTTAGACTGGAACCAGATGTTGGTCTTAAAATTTTGAGTTGGAAAAGTAACAAGTAACAAGAGGATGGTTCATTTTTAAATCTACTATTTTACAGGTCTAGACATTTTGCTAGTCATTTTTCCACTGAGTAGGTAAGAAAGATGTTGAGACTTCTACGACTTGAAAGTAAGTAATTTGCATAGACTATTAGATTGACATAGCGTGAATAACAATAGAATGGTCTTTAAGACAGCAGTCTTCATAGCCAAACAGAGTTATCAAAGGGCAGGGATGGTAAGCAGTGGAGTATCTTAAACATATGAAACACTAGCAGAAAAGACTGGACTCTTGGACAGAGGATGTATTCTGAGCTATGGATTCATACAGTTTCAATGACCGGAGTTGTGGGTAGAGGACATGCTTTGCATCCATATCCTTTAAGGAGCCTGATGTAGTTAGAGAGCATTTCATAGTCTACCCCCAAAACTGAAGACAATTAGTCAGTCTTTGTGTTTCCACAAAGAACCATCCACAAAGACAATGAACTTGTGAAGAAGACAAAAATAGTCAGGTGAATGTTATATCCATAGCTCTCACCATAAGCAAATTAATTAGAACTCTACTTCATTCATTCCTTATCATATTATGAGCATTCTGAATACCTTCAGTGAGTTTAGAAATACTTATTGAACATCTACCATGTATCTGCTACTGAGTGAGGAGCTGGGCATACAATGGAGAAGACACACGGATCTAGCCCCTTTCTGAACTCCTCTGTACTTTCAAAACCATTTCCTGCAAAACTTCAAACAATTAGAAAAAACAAGTGAATAAGCTGATGGGCTAGAAAAATACACTACCACCAACAATAGCAACAAAATTATCTCCAGTAGGTTCTTTACAGTATAACAACTAAGGTAATGGTAGGCCTGGTATCAACGTTCCTTCATTTATTTATTCACTGATAAACATATAATGAGCATCTAAAGTATGCCAGGCACTCTGCCAGCCACTAATAATATAAAAATGATTAACAAGAACACCATAATGAATGTTTCTTTAATTAATTAACTAATTAGGTTCTGAGGACATTGAAATAATAGAAATTTTGAGTCAACTAAATGATATCTTTGGTTATCAAAAATAATGTGATAAAATAGGTAGAAAGTATGGTTGACTGATGCAGATAAATCAAGGATGGTATATCTTCCAATTTTTATCACCAGAAAGAAGTGAAAATATCAGACTTATTATAAAATAGTACCTCCGAAAAAACAAGAGTTCCAGACTTGAAAGATATCAGACTTCTGTATGTAATGTTTCAAATTGACAAAGAGTCTAATCAATAAAGCCATACAAGAATTTCCTTTATCAAGAGAAAATTAAAAAGGGGTTTCAAATTAACCAATTTCTGCATCAGATTGCTAGTGTAAGCCAAAATGCAGAAACTGTAAATGTGATTAAAATAACAATTAAATTACTCTCTGAAGAAAAACAGGTGAAGCTGCTTCTGGAGAACTGGTATGACTCAGGAGACAAACTGATTATGCAATGTATGTGACTCAGCTTTCTTTCATGCTTCTGAGAGTGGAATGGACAGGCATGAACCATCTCCTCAGTAGATGAAGCATCCTTTAATATTTCATCTTTATGTTTCAGTCACCCAAGTCCTCTAGATTTCAATAGTCTCATTTAGCCTGTTGATAGAATTCCAGCAACTCAAACCTCCTAGCACAAACTCTGAACAGGGTGCAGAGCAGCTATCCCGGGTCCAGCTGGTTTACTACTGTCCATAAACTTGTCACATGTTCTACTTGCTCTGGTATTTGGTTTCACCGGGAACCCTGATTTCTTTCCAAATTATTCTGTTACAGATGAGACAAGGTCGGAACTACTAAGGCATAGAAGTGACAGCTGACAATGATGAAGGAGTCCAAGGAAACATGAAACAGAAAGTCACAGTTGTCCAGGGCCGACTCTGCCCAGGTCGTTCAGAAATCCCCACGGGTAGCACTGGATTGCAGCACTTCACTTGCTCATGAGGAGCAGTGTGAGTCATCGGTGTCAATCCATGATCAAATGCTCCTTTTTAACAAAGACTTGGGAGTGTGTGATGAACTAATTCAAACTAGAAAACTTCATCATTTAAGGGAGGCACCAGGCGTCACTCTAAAAAGTTAACTTGGTGGGAGCCTTCCTTTCCTTATGCAACAGGCATTGCCCTTTCACCAAAAGATGTCTCACAAGTGCTCCAGGATTACATCTACAGGAAGCTGATAGGGCGCTGATGAAATCCACAGTGCCCTAGTTTCACATATTATATTCAATTTAGGAAAGAAATTTCTAAATGAGTTTCTCATTCCAATAACCTTAGTAACGAAAATAGAAATAATAGCAGATAATATTTATTATGCACTTATTATGCATCAAGCAACGTGTTGATATCCTTACAGAGATCAGCTGATTTAATCTCCCAACAACCATAAGAAGCTGATATTCTTATAATCTCCAAAGTACTGATGAGGAAAGGATGCTTTTCCTTACTCCCCCAGGTCCTACTGTAGACAAGAGGCAGAGCTGAATTTGAATTCTGACCAGGTGACTCCAGAGACAGTGGAAATCTGTGATTCAGGTAGACTTCTTTGTCATTGGATCAGGGTCAGAGTGTTTCCAAAAATAGCATTCCTTTTTTAAAAATGTTACTGTGCTCTCTTTTAATCCTAACTCTATTCAGGAAATCTATTCCTGTGGTTTTTAAAGTAAAATTGAAATTCTTGGTAAAAAAATGAACATGGCATCAAAAAAGCTACAAGAGAGAAAATGAGAATTTTAAGGTATGGTTTATTAAACAGAAATCAGTCAAAGGTGTGTAGTTTCATCAACTGCATGAATAGTGTCATCAAACCTATAAAATTCTATATGCCTTATTAAATGGCTTCATTGAATAAAAAAATGCATTAAAACAAATGTGCTAATTGATGGAATGATGGGTCTAAATCAGGAAATGTATAATAGGAAAAACAAAGACTTCAGATCAAATATAGGAAAAAGTTAAAAATTATAGGAAATAAAGATTTATTAATTACTTCCAAATGAATTAATATATATGTGTAGCTATCCATACACATAGTTACCATACTTTGTTACATAAGATATTTTAAAGTAAACAGCTTATGTTTTGAAGTTCTGCCTCCAAAGGAAAGATTCAAGTACTAAAGATACCAATTTGTTTACAAAAATAGTTAAGGCTCTGAGAAATAGTGTAACTTCTTAATACCCTATAATCCAATTTCTTCAGCAATTTAGCAAATTCATATGCAGAGATATTACAAAGATATGTACTACCTAGTTCAAATGGATCATATTTCCCTAAGTTGTAGAGCCTGAGAATTAATGTGGATTCTAATTCATAACATATTTTGACCTTTTTATGTAATGAACTGCCCATGATTGTGCTTTTGAATGACAAAGCTAGAGGAGGAGAAGTAAGAGAAAGGATCCAGAATTATCTGGGCATTATGTATTTATTTGAATGCTAAGGAAGAATTTCAGTGAATGTAATAGCAGCAAATTGCACACTGATGATTCAGGCTCCCATTTCGTTTGGTATTTTCAGGAAAATACAGTTACCTTAGCAACTAGCATATCACATGGCACATGCTGTAGCATGCAGAATGTCTCCAAGTCAAAAGCTTGCCCTTCCGGAAGAAGTCATACCAGGAAACGGGAAAATAAATAAACCAACCTCTTCACATAGTAAATTATGTCATTTATCTCCCTGACAGGTAAAAGATAATTTATATTTAAGTGAGTTTTTCTTTGCTACAGTCCTATCAAAATGGCAGTACATATGTTACATGGATGAAGGAAAAAAGGAAAGAAGCTACATAGCTTAAGGGTATAAAGTAAATCTTCAGTTGAATCAACTCTGAACATTACATTGACTGACATAAACCTATACAACTGAATGAGTGTTATAAGATACTTTTGCAAATTTAAATATTACGGTACTGTTAAACACCAAGAAGTAGAGGAGTTTTTATCCTGGTGGTAATAATTCCAAAACTGACAAAATTATAGTGAACGAATTTAAAAGTGGGTCTTTACAAGTCCAAAACAACTTGTTTGAATATGAAATATGCAATTAAACTGATTACTATTTTTATTGTTACAGAGACCCAAATCTTACTAAATCAGAGAAAAATAAATGCCTTTTTTAAAAATTCTCTGTGTATGCACTGAAGAAGAAATAAATATCTACTGCTTGCCTCCCAAGTGTCCAAATTTTTCAGCAGTAAGACAGAAAAGGAGCCTGTTTTTGCAGAATTTACATTCAAGTTAGGAGAAACATACAATAAAAAAGAAAAGAAAAGAAACAGTGTAAATTAGGCTGTGCTAACTTTCATGAAGAATATGGAACAGACCTCTTCTTCCTTTACCTCTTGCTCTCCTCATACCCTTGTGGATGTTTCAATCCTAAAACTGTAAGACGGGGAGACTGAAGAGGAGGTGGACACAGGAGGGGTTACAGCCAGCCAGTGTGGATGAGGAGAGCCCGGCAGGGCGTGAACACCTGCAGCAGCAGCAGGGCAGGATGCGAGCAGCTGGGACTGGTCACAGGCAGGAGCTGCATCACGTGAGCAAATGCCCTAAGGATAAGGGAAGTCAGATTTCTCACTGTTGGAAAACGGAATTACAAATTCAAAAATGAGAAAATTACAATAAACTCTGTAGAGTTGGATTAGAAAATGTATGGCTTTTAATATACATGCAGATAAATATAGAAATAAACATACAGTGTAGAAATACATACATTTCATACATAATGAATATTTCTAATACCTGATGTATATAATACAGGCATATTATTTATGTATATATAACATACATATTCCCTGTATTCTTCCCTGAGAGGGTTCAAGCACAAAACTCAATTAGCCATGAGCACACCTGAAGCCTAGATCTTGGATTGCAAATACTCTTTTTCATTAAATGAGAACAAGGCTCCTTGAGAAGATGGCTGATTCTGGGGCTGGGGCAGGGAAAGTACAATATGAACCCAAATATTGTACTGTACTAGAATGTAAAGAAACACTGAAACAATGTTTGGAATATGTCAAAAGAGAAAATCAGTTAACTTGGAAAGACTCCCACCAGCCAAATCTAGGACCATTTGAGCATCAAAATATTAATAGCCATGGACTAAAACATATTGAATAAAATAGGGAACCATTTGTTCATACAGATATAAATAAATTAATTAAAACATAAATCTGACAAAGAAAATGATATTTTAAGTTTTAAAGGACCTCCCCACAAAATGCTTACAAATTGTGATAGGAAATGAATAACTTGATGAAGGTGAACATCACTTGGAAAGGATGGGCTCAAACCCATGTGTCACCTGGGAAGGGGCAATGAGAGGCAAACAGGATCGTTTTCTGTGATATTTTTTCCAGTGAGGCATAACAATCTAATCACAAGCACATATCAGACAAATGCATATTGGAGAACATTCTACAAGATCGCTCACTGGCCTGTAATGTGGTCATTAAAGTCAAGGAAAGACTGAGGAGGAATTCTTTCAGATTGAAGAGATTAAAGATAGCTAAATGCAATTTGTAAATCCTTCTGTTCTGAAAGATCTTATTGGAACAATATAAATAGAGCCAAATGGTTACATGAAAGTAGTATTGTATTTATCAAAATAAGTCATTTATAAAATTTAATTAATTGAATTTAAATTTCAAAAATGCATTAAAATAAATGGCACTGTACGTTAATTTTCTGACTTTGTTGCTTATAATGCAGCTATATTAGAGGATGTCCATATTTGTAGGAAATACCCTCTAAAATAGTAGAGAGTGACTGGGCATTATATCAGTGTCTTACTCTCAAGTGGTTCAGGGGAAATTTTTCTTTGTATCATTCTTCTACCTTTTCTTTGTTGTGGTTATTTCAAAATAAAAGAATATGTAAAAAGGTAGTAAGGCAGATGGTGACTGCACATGAGCAAGTCCTTTAAGCTTGCACTGTCAAGAAAATGTATTCTCTGAAGAGGTGGCATTTCAATCTGAGAACTGAAAAATAAGTCAGTCATTCAAAGATTTGGCTGAAGAGCCTTGCAGACAGAGGGAACAGCTGGCGCTGAGGCCCTAGGCTTGAAGGAGTTTAGTGAGTTCCAAGAATAGCAAAATAAAATGTCCAGTGTAGCTACAGCCTAGTGAATAAGGAAGATGATGGAAGGGCAGAGGCAGGCTCTTGGGAGAAGCTTCATCAGGAGTGATAAGTTTGGAACTTAATTTGAGGTGCCAAGGAAAACCACTGAAGGACTTGAGCAAGAATGTAATATAAATGTACTCATTTCCATTTTCAAAACCACTCAGCAGAGGAAGGGGACAAGAGTTAATGTAGAGAAATAAGTGTTATTTGCACTCAGAGTAAAAAATGGAAAAAGGTGTCACACATATTGGAAGTAAAGGTGATAGGGTTTATCACTATCACTACTGAATGAGGATGTTGAAGAAAAGAGAAAACTAAAGGGCAAAAAGAACAACTATTCCTTATTTAGAGGTTATGGGCCAGACAGCCTTGAGTCACTTTACTCGCATTCAGTCCTATGAGACAAGTGCCATTGCTAGCCCCACTTAAAAATACTGAGGCATGAAAGGTTACGTGACAAGGCTGAAGCCGCACAGACGGTAGGTCGCAGAGCTGTGGTGTGAGCCCAGAACTGCATATGAAATGTGTACTATAAATTCTTTCTTTCTAAACTGACTTTTTGAGGTCTAATTTATATAAAATATACCTCCTGTGAGTGTACCACTCAATTTTTTTTATTGAAGTACAGTTGATATACTCAATGATTTTTGACAAGTATATTCAGCTGTGTTTTAATACCACCACACTCAAGATACAAAATATTTCCACTGCCTAAGAGTTTCTGCTGTAACCTTTTAATCACCCCATCACCATGCCTGACCCTCCCAGCTCCAGGCAAAAACTAATCTGTTCTCTGTCACTCTCATTTAGTTTTGCTTGCTCTAGGATTTTATTTCAAGGGAATCATATAATATGTACTCTTTGTGTCTAGCTTTTTCACTTAGCTTAAATGCTTTTAAGTTTTCATCATATTTTACATAGACTGAGAATTTATTCTTTTTATTGTAGTATACTGTTCCATTATACAAACAGAACACAATTTGCAATCCATTCACTAGCTGATGGACATTTAGGCTTTTTCCAGTATTTGGCTTTTTTGAGTAAAGCTTGCAGGAACATTTGTGTACATGTCTTTTTATAAAAATTTTTTCATTTCTTTTCAAATGGATAACAGGAATGGAATTCCTAGGTCATATGTCCATTTTATAAGTAACTGATGAACAGTTTTTCAAAGTGGTTGTATCACTTGATAGTCCCATCAGGAACAAATGAGAATTCCACTTGATTACTGTTGCTCTGTCAACATTTGGTACTGTCAGCATTTTAACTTTTAACCATTTTAGTGTGTTTGTAATTTGTATTTTGTGATTATAGTAATGTTGAACACCTTTTCCATGTCTTTATTGGCCATTCATAGATCATCTTTTCTAAGTGTTTTATACTTCCATATACTCAGCACCTGGTTTTCCCCATTTAAAATCACTTTCTTTTATCTTCTTATTACAAGTCCTTTGTCATATGTATGTACAAATACATGTGTGTATGTGTATATATGTATACACATATGTATAGTGAATGTTCTCTCCCCATCTGTGTCTTGACCTTTCATTTTCTTAATGATGTCTTTTGAAGATAAAAAGTTTTCGATTTTGGTGAAGTTTAATAAATATTGTTTTCTCTTATAAGTAGTGCTTTTTTGTCCTAAAACCCTTACTACAAGGTTGCAAACATGTTCTCCTGTTTTCTTTTCATTAGTTAGCTTTTATTTAGATCCATGATCTATTTCTAGTTAATTTTCTGTATGGTGTGAAGTAATGATTGAAAGTATTTTTTCTGGTAATTCATAACAAGTTGTTCCAACACCATTTTTAAAAAGACCATCTTTTCCCTGTTATACTGGTACCTTGGTAAAAAATTAATTGGTCATGTATGTGTGGGTCTCTTTGTAGATTCTGCATTCTGTTCCCTAGATTACTGTGTCTATTCCTATGCCAGTTGTATACTGTCTTATTTATTGTAGTTGTATAATAAATCATGAAATCAAGTAGTATAAGTCATCAACTTTGTTCTTATTCTCATTTTTTAAATAAATTTTATTTTGTAGAACAGTCTTAGCTTTACAGAAAAACTGAGAAGGTAATAGAGTTCCATGTACTCTGCACCCAATTTTCTCTAATATTAACATCTTATGTTAGTATGGTACATCTGCCACAATTAATTAACTAATACTGATACACTATTATTAACTGAAGTCAATCTTTTATTCAGATTTCCTTACCTAATATTTCTTATTTATGTTTCTTTTACTTAACTTTGTTCCTGTTCCAGGACACCAATTTATTTATCATGTTCCCTTAGATACCTCTTGCATGTATTCACTATATATGCATCTCCACACACACACACACACACACACACACACATTATATATATATATAATGCTCACTATATATATATATATATATATATATATGTATATACACACACACATATGAAAAGCTTATCAGACTTTTCTTTTCTTTTTTGATTACATTAACAATTTCATGGGGGCATTGATAAAATATTTTGTAGGATGCCCTTCTACTGGTGTTTGTCTGGCTTGTATTTTCTCAGGATTAGTCTACAGTTACCGGTTTTGAGTAGGAAGACTACAGAGGTAGAGTGGCATTTTCATCATATCATACCAAGGGTACATAGTGCCAGAACAATTTATCACCAGTGGTGTTGACCTCTATCACCTGGTTGAGGCAACGTTTGTCAAGTCTCACCATCATGATAAAGTTACTTGTCCTCCTCCTTTGCATGCTGTGCTCTTCGGAAGGAAGTCACTATACCCCACCCATAGTTAAGGAGTAGGTAGTGATGATGCTCCACCTCCTTGAGGGCACAGTATCTACATAAATTATTTGGAATTGGTCTGCAAGGGACATTTGTCTCTTATCCCTCATTATTTATTTACTCAATCATTTATTTATATGAGTATGAACTCGTGAATATTTATTTTATACTTTGGGTTGTAATCCAATACTACTTAATTTTGCTGCTCAAATTGTTCCCACATTGGCTATTGGGAGCTCTTTCTGTCAGTTAGTATATCTCTTTGACAATCACTTACTGATACACAGTTTTTATTTTTGTTTTGTTCTTTCTTTTTTTAGCAGTTTTTACTTTTAGGCACTTCAAGAACTAGCCATTTATCCAAGGAAACTCAGCTCCTTTTATTAAATAATAGTATTAAAACCAAGATTTGGATGCTAGACATGCTCTATCCCTTTTCAAAATTGTCTTGGGCTTTTAGATCCTTTGTATTTCTATAGAAAAATCCAGTGTATTTTAATTGGGATCATATCAAATTTCTCCTAGATGGCCTGAGTTATTCCTCTTAGCTTGAACTCTGAATAAATTATTGCACCTTTTACTGAAATTGGAAAGTCTGGATGACAATTAGATGGGGATTGGGAATCAAAAATTCTATTTGGGGCATTTAAAATTTAACATCCAAATATTCTAATCTAGCCCCCATACATCTGCCCAGCTCCCAGGACCAGTAGATTATTAATGCTTGTTATGAGACAATAGGGACAGCATGACATTAATTAATTCATTAAAGAGTAACTTAAAATTTCAGCTGGCAACATCCAAATTCATTAGTTTATCCATTGCTGATTTACATACTTCTTGACACAAAGGATTGTAAATTTATAACTGCAGTTATTTCTACCAGGCTGGATAGACTCTCAAAAGAGGGGAAAGAATTTAACATTTCTTAAGTAGCTGTCACCTTTTAGATGTTGTTCAAGGTTGTTTGGACATAATATGTATGTCAAGACTTACAACAACATGAAAAAATGGCTATTACTCTTCTCAACTGGCAAACATGGAGATTTAAGCCTGAAAGATCAGGTAACTCATCAAAGTCACACAGCAGGAAAGGTGGCACTAGATTGAGTCCAGGGAGGGTTGCCTGATAAAGTACTGCATGAAATGTACATCATAAACACTACCCATTGTTTATCTGAAATTCAAATATAACTGGGCATCCTGTATTTTTATTTTCTAAATCTAGCAAGCCTAATCAATGACCGTCTGGCCTCAAAGGCTGTGTTTCTTCTTTCTATAGTGTAAACAATACATCAGGAGATACATGAGAATCTGGAAAACATTTTCCCCCATATTTTAGTACTTTAATTTACAATAGTTGTCATATATACATATAGGTGAAAGTGGTCTACAGTCCACACTGAAAAAGGTGTAATACAGGTCTGAAGATAGAAAGGAAGGTTTGTTTTATTTTGTCATGCTTTCTTTTTTTGGTAGACAGCTACATGAGCCTTTAATAAAATTAACCTTTTGCTTCAATCACCTGTCACCAAATTGGAACTTTTTCCAACCCAATAATTCTATTACACATTTAAACTGTTTTGTAGCACTTAAAAATGCAATCTAAACTATCTGAAAAAAGAAAATAGACACAATGTCTTGGCACATTTAGAGATGCTTCCAATCTCTAATTAAAAGTACCAGAACAGTAAGACTACTGATGGAATTGTTCCCTCTCTGGAAGCTCAGTTCTCTCTCAGGAAGGACCCTAGAAGAAATAATTAGTATCCTTGCAATCAACACAAGAGGATAAATTTAAAGGCTTCGTTAGGAGCTTCAAGGTTTTATGACAACATCTGCTCTACTTTTAGCCTTATATTCTTTAACATTATGATTTCTACTGTAACAGGCCCCCTGTTCTCTATTTCAATATCTAAATGTACTCCTATTTCCTACATTAGTATGTTTATGTTCCTCTTATTCCTATAATAGGAGAAACAGTCTAAGTTCTTAAAAATCATATAATATTTTTATAAACTTGGAGTATGAATGAGACTTTCTAAATAAGGTATCAAAATGAAATAAAAATGAACTATAAAAGAAAGGTTTATATAGATTTACTGTATAAAACTGTAGACCTTCAATGTGGTTAAAAACATAGTAACAAAATGAAGTCAAAAGCCAAACTGGTAGAAAGATTTAAATATGGTAGCCAATTGTTCATTGACTAATTTATTCAAACTTTTCAATGACTGACTTATTCTTCGATTTTATATTTTTAAAAACATGCAACATTGTGTGTATTCTTTTTTTTCCCAACATATTTAATTTTTTCTGTTCTTTTCATTGTTGCTGGCATTTGAATCATTCCAATGGTATTCATTTTTCTTATTCTTGAGTTACATCTTTCAGCTATTTCAGTAAGTGTCATATGTGATAAATTATCTTGGTCTTTCTGTTTGTATTTCAGTTTAACTCTTGAATAATAGCTAATTGTAAAGATTCCAAATTTTAAGCTAATTGTTCCTTCAGATGTATTCAGGTCTTTCCCTCTGAGATCTTTTGATATTTTCTCTTTAGCTTTGATGTTCTGCAGTTTCACTGTGATGTATCTAGATGTGGGTGTATGTGTGTATATCCTGACCACATGCTTTTGTTTCTGTTTAACATAAATCATAGAAAATGAAAACAGTGTGCTGTCTTTTATCTATATATTAATATGTAAGAATTGAGACCACAACACATAAAGGTTAGAGAATATAGACCTAAAATGGACCCAGGTTCAGAAGTCATGTCATTGAAATTTGAGGGTCAAGATTCTGCAACAGCAACCAAATACAGAAGCAGATCTAAGGGAACCAGGGCATAGAAGAAGGGGTAGGGCTCTTTTAGTCCCCTGGCTTAAACTCTGGACTTTTCAAGAACTTTTTTAGAGGGGAACTGTCACTTCAGGAGCAGCAGCTCAGGCAGATGCACAGTGCCCAGGTGCATTTGGAGACCCTTTCAGAGGAGAATGTAGCTAGACCAGAAAGAGAATCCTTAGGGAATTGTACGGAATTACCACCTCCTGGGAAGATCACAGAAAAGACAAATGGTTCCTCAGCTCCACCTATGCCTCTATCCTTCTTGACTCAGATATCTGAGGGCCAGATGCTTCACAATGACTTGGTGAGATGGGAGAGAGAGCCTGGGATTTGCCTGCCGCCTTTCATCAGAGGCAGCTGCTGACTTGGTCCATCCCCAGTGTTGCAAGACTTGTCCAAGTTGTATGCTATTTTAGGGGAAGCTTTGCTTATAGTTTTGGCTAAGCTTTCTAGTGGACAGGATGGAGCTAGGACTAGAAGAAGCTGAGCATTCTGGGGAGGCGGTAACAACATTTATAGAGAAAGATAAGGATTTGCCCAGTGCCAAGATTGAAGAGATGAGAGTAATAGAGTCTAAGAAGATATCCTCTGCAAGGGGAAGGTATACACATTGCTAAATGTATTTTGTGGGGATGGCAAATTTACTAAGGGGAGATTATAGCAGAAAAAATATTTTAATATATTAAATCACTGTGTTTTATCATTAAGAAACCTATTTCTAAGTCTTCTCACAGCTCCAGGCATAAAAAGCCAAGTTCAGCTGACCCCATCACAGAGTTGCTTTTATAATCTATGGAGTAGGGAGGGACGATCATGCCATGTCAGTTAAGTTTCCCTAAAACAAGGAGGAAACTCTCCTGGTGTTCGGAGGAGCATACAGATTGGGAAGGATGGAGGGACAGAGAAAGAAAGGGCAGGAAGAAAGGAAGAAAGGCAGGAGCTCAGATTCATATGTCTGAAGAGAATTTCCAAAGCAGAGGTGCTGGTGACCTATTGCCTTTGGAACTTTAGGATAATACCACCTTCAGTGTGCCCTGAACTATAGCAAAGTAACAAAAAATCTGAGTGTTTAAGCCGGTAGAGGGCCTGAGTTTGGCCACAATTTTCCATGGATGTATGGGGTTTGTAAGAAGATTCCACATAGCTGCATTCCCAGGCAAGGTGAAGGGAAAGTGCCAAGAGGAGCGGGGACCGAAGAGGCAAATACAGGCAAGAACCTAAGGAGCTGGAATCTGAATCAAGGGGAGAGTCCTTGGGCATTGTGGGTAAAATTGAAATATTTCCAGAATATCTCGCCTGGCTTTGGTACATCTGCATATCAATAGGCACTCAGAGGTGGAGAGAAGTAAGGCTTTAGTGCATTT